GCGTTGATTAAGAATAAACTAATGACAGTTTCTGGAAGAAAGATGATCCCATAAGAATTTCTAATCCCATGAGAGTTAGTCTTGGAAACCACAGGGGCAGTTTTACTCTGTTCTGTAGGGTTGCTGTGAGTTAGAATCAACTTGAGGCAATGAGTTTGTTTTTTGTTTGTTCATTTGCATGACAGTTTCCGATTGGGGACACCTCAAAAAATTGTATACCTTCTATGTCCTCCATTTTTTGGAAAGTATTGTAGGAGGTAAAAAGCCAAAACTGTTACCATTGAGTCAATTCTGACTCATAGCAACCCCAAAAGATCACTGTACCCCTATATGGTTTTCTGGGCTCTAATCTTTACAAAAGGCAGATTGGCCACATCTTTTTTTCCCAGAAAGAGGCTGGTGAGTTTAAACTGCTAACCTGTGGGTCAGCAGCCCAATGCTTACAGCCATAATAATAGAACCCTTTAAAATTTAGCCACCTAATCAAAATTTTATTTGGAATTTGGAGAACTTTGTATGGCAAGGATGGAAAAGTGGAAGTAAGATGCCTGAGATACGGAGTTAAATATCCAGAGAGACAGATTAAAGTGCTTAACAGGGGCAAATGGCAGTCAGAGCATTTTTCATTTTTTTAAACAAGTTTTGTAAAACTGAACTATTTAAACTTCATACATGTATAGACTGCTGAAGCCATACATAAAAGTTTATGAGACAATAGAAAGAAGGATGCTGAAACAGCAGTTATATCCAACTAATAAGCAGTTTTTTCTGTAAAAAGGAGCTGGAAAATAGGACCGTACTTGAAGGGGGTTGACACATATGAAGGAGTTTAGGGAGAATCTTTGTCTAGCAATTGCTTTCAGGTACTCAGTCAGGCCTACTTTAGTTCTTTCTTTGCATTTTACATACAACCCCCCTGTGGGTTCCTCAGACTGACTTTTTACAGGAGTAAAAAGCCCAGTCTTTCTCCCAAGAAGCTGCTGGTGGTTTCAAACAGCCAACCATGCAGATCACAGCCCAACAGGTAACCACTATGCCACAGGGCTCCTTAGCACCACTCAAGGACTCCAGAAAATAGTTTAGTGGATGAATTAGGAGAGAATGCTTTCCTTGAGTATTGTGCTCTTTTAAAGCACTATCTTTATGTGCTCAAGTTAATAACTGCAACTCACAAGGTTAGATGAAAAGCTTATGAAGCAGTGAGTTTATGTTAATGGTAGGGGAATCATTTGGAAATGGTTACCAAGAAAAGTGACCCAAGTATGTAACCAATGTCACAGAGGTGTACATGTAGAAATCACTGAATTTATTTGTTTTGTGTGTTTTCACACATCTTCATACGTATGCATATATGTACTTATATACATACATATACATATGTATGCCTTCAAGTTGAACTGCCTCTGGATATCCAAGGCTGTAAATCTTTGCAGAAGCAAAAAGCCTTATCTTTCTCCCATGGAGCAGCTGTTGTATTTGAACTGCTGACCTCAAGGTAGCCCAATATATAACCCACCAAGGCCACCTGAGTCTCTTTAATTGGTTTGGAAAGAAGATATAGTCATGCTCAGTAATGGGATAATGAATACTTTTTGGAAGAATATTGTGAAAAACAATTTTAATTAGCCTAGTAAAGAATGCTGTTGAGACTATGTCTCATTTACATTGGACATGGTATCTAGAGAAACCAGTCCCTGGAAAATTACTTCATGCTTGTTAAATAGAGGGGCAGTGGGAAAGAAGAAGGCCCTTAACAAGATGGATCGACAGAGTGACTGTAGTAATGGGCTCAGACATAGCATCAGTTGTGAGGATAGTAGAGGACTAGGCAGTGTTTTGTCCTATTGTACATATGGTCACAGTGAAATGGAACTGGTTCAGTGCCTCTTAACAGTATCTTCTAATCCATTTTGGATTTACTCTTCTTAGAGTCAGCCACACCCGCATACATTTTTTCAAAATATGTTTGAAATGAACTTGTATGTCACTAAAGTCTCTAAATCCACTTCAGTTGTACTCTTCCTCCTTTTGAGCCAATCAGACCAATATGTTGATCCGAGGGGTAAGATATCTAGAGGGCTTTTTTGTTTTGTTTTACATGGAACTATTTTTATTTTATTTTATTTTTTCTTAAACCCAGACCACTTGAGTCTTTTTTTTCCTAGTTTGCTTTATTTCTACTTTTTGATAATTAAATACATTTATTGGGTGCCCTTAAGTCATCTTAACTTTGAACTCTTAAAATCTTAATACTGTAGCTAGTCCTTTTTATTTTTACTTTTAACTCATCCACCAGTTTTCTTTAAGAACTCCTAACCTTTCTCACATGGGCAAATATCAAGGGTTCTTGTTCTCTTCTACTCAGGTAAGTATATTTGAAAACGAAAGTTTTTAGAATCCACTGTTACTAACACACCTTTAATCTTGTTGAGTTGGAATTTTATATTAATTTATGTGTTAGTCTGAGTCTCAAGAAACAAATCCAGAGACACTCGTGTGTATAAGAGCTTTATAGCAAAGAGTAATTGTACATTAAGAAAACATCCCAGCCCAGTCCAGATCAAGTCCATAAGTCCAATATTAGCCCACATGGCTGATAATAGTGTATAAATTACTCCTTCGACTCGTGCAACACATGCAATGACGCCAAATGCAGGAAGATCACAGACCAGTGGGTGGAAAGTCTTATGGATCCAGTGGTGGTGGAAGACTCTCAGCACTGGCGTGGGTCTCAACGTGGCTTCTCCAGCTCCAGGGCTCTGACTCCATCAGCATGTCTCCATGTGTCTTATCAGCAGGAAGACAAAGCAGAGAGAGTGTGTCTCCCCTCCAAGGATGACGATAGGAGTTCCCAAAATCCTCAGGAGCAGGCCACGCCCACACAGAGGCCTGACTGGCTATGACCTGATTAACAGACTAGACTCCACTCCTTTACTCAAATTGACAGGAGATTATGTAGCTGCCACAATTTACATTATTTTCTAAATTTTAGATTGAAAGATAATAAAGAATTTCTTTTGCCTCAAAATTTTAGGATACTTAGCAGAATTAAAAATTTGGGGTGATAGAAACAAGCTCCCGGAGCACCTGCTCACCTCTCACCACGAGAGGGACGCCGCATGGGTACCCCAAACTGGCCGCTGCCCACATGCAAGTCCCTGGAGACGAGCGCCCCTCACCTGGGAACGCTGGCTACAAGGAGCTCAGGTTGCAGGCGCTTCTCTGGCTTCACGTGCAGCGCACAGGGTGGTTCCATGTGGGCTGCCTGAGCCTGAGAGCTATTGGCACCCTCCCATACTACGACTGACCTTTGATCCATGTGATTCTGCATCCACTGGCCTGTTATCTTATGCATCCTTCTTCACCGTTATACTTCGTCAGCCTGCAGCTATGTGAATGTACAGAGGACCCTGCCCTGCATCAGACTTGTGACCTTGAGTTGGACTGGGGTAGGATGCCTTCTTGGTATAATGTTACTTCTTGATATAAAACTCTTCCTTATACATTAAAAAATTTGTTTTCAATATTTAATCCAGGATAATAGGGCATATCGTGCACATATTAAACCTGCCTTACTCTTTGGTGGCTTAGTGGTAACATGTTGGGCTGCTACTGGCCAGGTCAGCAGTCCAAAACTACTAGCCGCTCCTCAGAGACCTCCAGGGGCAGTTCTACCTTGTTCTGTAGGGTCACTACGAGTGACTCAATGACAATGAGCTGAGTGGTAGCGAGCACAGAGACAACTTTTAGGCTTCTGATTTTGTTGTAAAGCAGTTTAGTACTTCGCGTGAATGTAAGGCTCTTTATGATAACGTCTTCTCTACTTTTTCTTACCACCATCTCTGCCTCTCCTCTTCCCACTTTATGCTCCAATGACTAAAATGTTGAAACTATGGCTTGCATTTTTTCCCCTCTAAATGTAGTGCTCAACCACTTGAGTCTCTCAAATATGATGCTCTGGCATCTCATGAAAGTCTGTGCCATTTCCAAGGCTTAGAATCCTTTCAGTTACTACCTCTTCCTGTCTGCTAGTCTAATGGTTCTCAAATGAAATGTTCATATGCTTCATGTGGGGATCTTGTTAAAATGTCAGTTCTGGTGCAGTTGGGCTATGGCGGGGCACAGAATGTATCTTTTTTTTTTTTTTTTCAGAATGTATCTTTTTACAAGTTTTTAGATGATGCTAATTCTGCAGGTCTTTGGACCATACTTTCTACTTTCCGCAGCAAGGATCCAACCCACACACATTGTCATCAAGATTCTTTCCTCCCGTTCTCATGGGTGCCCTTAATCGTTCCTTTCCCAGTGTTGCTGTTTACACGGAATACTCATTATACCTCTTAACATTATTTAGATAGCTGTCTCCCTACTCAGTTGCAGAGTTTTGCCCACAAAGACCTTCCTTCTCTTTCATCTTTGTATTCCCAAATCCTAACACACTGTCTAGCAGAATATAGACTTTCAGCAAACATTTGTTGACACCTGCTGATTAGACAGTGTTGCTAGAGCCAATGTAGTGGTTAAAATGCCTGGCTGCTAACCTAAATGTTAGCAGTTCATTCCTCCCACCTGCCTCACCAAAGAAAAATGTGTCAGTCTGCTTCTGCAAAGATTTACGGTCTGGAAAACCCTATGGGGAAGTTGTTCTCTGCTCTATAAGGTGGAAGTGAGTCTAAATCGACTCAATAATGGGTTTAATCATAATGTATATAGTAGATATTAAGCGGTTGTTTTGTTTTTTTTATGCTTTCCCATTTTGATTATCTTGAATTACTGACCTGAATCCTTTTTCTCCTATTGTCCCTTTTTAGAAGGGGGAGAAAAAAACCTCAGTTTGGGATAGCAAAAGGTATTTGCTTGTATATTTTAGCCTTTTGAATAAAGGACAACGAAAAAGATTTTGAAGCCTGTGATGACAGAGTATTTCTCAAAGTCACTTTATTTGAAGAAGTCAATTATTTTAGAGAACTAATGGCCAATTATTTCTCTTTTCACCTAAGGAGAAGTACAAATGTCTACCACAAGACGAAAACGTAATATGTTATGTTGTTTACCGTAAGCTGTAGTAAAATGAGCTCAATTGTTGACAGGTAAGTTTTAGAAACTCACTTTTAATTATTTAAAGCTATTTTAAAATTCAGTAGTCGAATAATGGTCTCAATCAAAAGCTGGAAGAATGTTTATGTTTAGACATAATGACTTTAGCCTCATTTTCTGTATTAGACATAGTATTAGACTGTATTACACATGCAGTGCATCATTTTTACCTAGAGCCACGTTCTAAACTGGTTTTGTGCTCTAATTTTGTGTGGTTTGGTCAGAACTGCTCTGAAGAACAAACATTGTGACTATTCAAAATGCTTTCTGGGAATTTCCTCTCTTCTCTATCTTGATACCTTAACATAGCATTTGTAATGGGTAAGAGTTACTACAGTTAACGTTTCATTCCTTTAAATATTTATCTTTAAATCTTAATCATGAAGAAAGGGTAAGTAGCTGTATTTCTTTTATTTGAAAACCAATTTTTTATTGTTTTGCTAACATCTCTGGAAATGGGATGCATCCTACAATTTCCTATCTTGGTAGTTTGATTCTTTCTTGGTGACATATAAAATAATGGTTAATATATACCCCACTAAAGGAGCTTGGTGGCCTAGTAGGTTACCTGTTAGACTGCAAAACACAAGGTTAGCAGTTTAAACCCACCAGCAGCTATTTAGGAGAAAAGAGCCCCATAAAGATTTATAGCCTTGGAAACTGACAGAGGCAGTTCCACCCTGTCTTATAGGGTTGCTATGAGTCGGAACCGACTTAATGGCAGTGAGTGTGATTTTAGTTTTGTTTGTTAATATATATAATCACCATATCAAATATGACTTGATAAAATACAGTGATATTTTTTAAGCACCTACTCTTTAAAAAGTATTATTCAGTATGCTTTTTATAATGCTACTTGATTTAACCTTACAATAATTTCATGAGTTTTACAGATGAGAAAACTATAGATCAGAGAAGTTAAGTAATTTGTTTAAGGTCACACACTAATAAATGATAAGGATGACTTTGGACCTGTGTGATTCTTCTATAGGGGCTTTCTTAGGAGTTTTGCTGCTGGGATTGTATACAGAAGTAAATTTTGACATCTCTAAGCAGCTCTTGTTCTTTTTCTAATAGTTGAACAGTAAAGATATGTACTCTACTAGAGTCTTAGGCCTGCTTGGACCACTGCCCATCGCTTTGGGCTCTGCAATAGCTGTTGATTTCATTTGTTAAACGTGTTTTTTATCTAGATCTTCCCATGGCCAGCCCCTTCTGTCACTTAGATTTCAGCTCAAATGTCTCAACTTCATCAAGCCCTTCCTTGAGTCCCAGTAACATTACCCTCTCCCAAAAATAAGATGTAGCACACATTTTAGTTTTTGTTTTTTCTTTATTTTCACTAGAAAACAGCTGCCGGGAGCAGGGACAAAAGGTCTTGTTCACTGCTCTGTAACCACATCTAGAACAGAGCCTGGAACATGGGTTCTGATAAATATTTGTCAAACAAATTAGCAAATAAATATAAATATAGGTTAATGTGCCAGATGTATGTGCTGCTTATGGTCAAAATTCATGATTTTATAAAGTATATGTCTTAGTAAATATGTTTTTAAAACTATGCTATTACAATAAAAATAATTTCAAATGGTATGTATATGGCAAATACACTGACACTATAGTTTATCCCTTTATTTACACTTTGAAGCTAGATGTTTAACCTATGATTACAATAAATTTTTACCTGGAAAACTGTTTTACACATAATAGAACTGAGTAAATATGTTAAAAATTCATATATACAAATAAACTTATGACTAAACATAGCTAAATTTCTATCTACTTTTTTATTAGCAGACAAGTTAGTTTGATGCAGCCGCGTTTGAATCGGCGTAGTTGGATAACCTTACCGAACTCCTAGGGTATTCATAGATCATGTTAGCATTGCTGCTGCTTAATGAGTCCACACCTACATTCTCAGTCACTGTTTTTCTCTTTTAGAGATGATAGTATTTTTGATGGATTGGTGGAAGAAGATGACAAGGACAAGGCAAAAAGGTAGCTCTACTTCAGATGGAAAATAGTCAATAAATGGGTAACAAATACATGTAATAGTAAATAATAAATCAGTCATTCATACTGCCCTTAAGAATTCCAATATATTATTGAGAGGGGGGTGGTGCTCAAAGGGAGACGTTGCCAAGGAACCCAGGAAGAAATAGTATGTTTGGGGGCAGGGGTGGGGGGGCGAGCACTGGAGCTGGTCATGATTGCACAGCTCATTTTGGAGATGAATCAACCCTGCAGGGAGGGAATGCTCTCAGATGGATGTGATGGTGATTGTACAATTCCCCCTTGATAGGTTTGAATGATTAAAACTATTCAGTTCTATGAGATGTAAATTGTGTGTTAATAAAACTGTTGAAAAGAATTATGTTTGGAAACTGATTATGGAAGTGATGGTACAATTCTGCTTGATGGGATTGAACAATGTAATGACATGACATTTGTGTTAATGCCCAAGTGACCCCGCTCCCCCCCCCCCCCAAAAAAAAAACTATCCAGGAATAGTTTTGGGTTTACACTAAATCCTACCTCCAACCTAAGAACAGTTAGCTCTTATATCATGGCTCTGCTTGATACTCACCCTCAGGAAGAGAACACTGAAGAGATGGTACTGTAGCAAAATGTGGTGAAGAAATAAGATGGTGCCCAGCTATTAGATAAAATAGTGTCTGGGGTCTTAAAGGCTTGTCTCCAAACAAACAGCCATCTAAGTGAGATGTCAACTAAGTTCACACGGGAAAAGCACACTATCATCAGTCATGAAGATTGTGAGGCATATAATCCCTTCAGAGTCAAAGAAGGGATTAGTATCTGAGCTTAAAATGTAAGAATCTGGTTTGCAGAAGGCTATGGATGACAGTAGAAACCCAAGATCAGTTTGTGGAACTATATAGGAAATAAACTTCCGTGAACTCCCTTTATCCACAATTGGAGGGATATGAGGAAGTCGTTACTAAACAGAGTACATTAGAGAGTTGAGTATAGAAGATCAAAGGCATAAATTTGACTTGAACAGTTAAAACTTTGTCAGCAGATCACCCTATGATGCATGCTGGACCTGATCTGCTTTCAAAAATAATTTGTATTTTATATTGTTTGGTTTGGCTTTTGTTTGTACATATTAGGAGGTATCTTAGAGGAGTTAGGTCACTGGGGCCCACCCTCTTGAAGTTGTATTATATGCTTTTTCATTATCGGTATATGAAACCCAGGATTGATGAACCTATAGAGAGAGCAAGTAGAATAAGGGATTCGGGGTTGGGTGAGGGGGTATGGTGATGGTGGTAGGGGGAAGGGGAGACAGTGCCAAGGAGTCCATGTAGAAAAGAAATGTTTGAAAACTGATTGTGGTAGAAAATTTGTAAAATTCTGGACAGGATGAAACTTGGAATGATATATATTCCCAATTAATAATAAAGAATTTCCGTATATTAACAAGGTAGAAAGCACTTGGAATATCAGTATACAGTTCATAAATTAAAATTATCTTCTAACCTGTAAATATATGTTATGCTATACTTAAACAAATATTGAATTATAAATCTGACTTTGCAGAGTAGGTAATTAGAAGTGTTGCAAAATTTTCAGTGGATGTATAAATAATTGTACTCATTTAAGTCGCAAGAGTTTTCAGTATAAATGTTTGTTTACAGATTACTGCTTCATATTACATAAGGCAAGGAGGGAGAGCAAGAGGATTATAGAAACGCTTATAGCCAAAAGTAATGAACCAGAGCTATACTGAAATGTATCCAAAGTAGAGCTGATAAATGACTACGTTTTGTAAAAATCAATTAGAAAATACAGTTCAACAAAGAATTAAAAATGTTTGTTTATATCCATTTTCAGAAAGACATATTTTACAAAATGTAATATGCCTATTTTTTTATCTGTGCTTTTCCTAAGTTGCTTCCATAGCATGGCAGAGATTGTGCACTTAGCACATATATCTTGAGTCCTTCCTATTTGTGAAGTGTTGTGCTTATCCATGCCTTGATAAAGAATTTGAAGCTCTGTTCCATTGGAGCCCATTGCTTGGTTGAGAAACATACGCAAACAAGTGGGTTCAGCTTTGTGTTAGAGGCTGGCTGTAGGCGTACAGTGGCAGAAAAGGGGAGAGTGTGTGGGTAAGCTTGGGCACCAGGAAGGTTTCATTTTTAGGTTTCTATTTATGACTTAAAGTTATATTGGCTGGATGTTATTTAATAGTTTGTATCTTCACAAACAGTACCAGTAATACAATAACCTTTTTTGCAAAGAATAATCCTTGATAAATTCTAGATTAAATAGAATTTGAGATTTGAATGCAGTTTGTCCTCCTCCCATTTCATAAAAACATGTATGCCCAGATGCTTACTATATAAAATTCTCTTTCATGATCAATTGAGTTGAAAAATTAGTACCCAGATTAAAGTTATATTGTTTGTAATCTAAGAAACAAATATTAGCAGTTCTACTCTTGCCTTATAGGGTGGCTATGAATGGGAGTCAACAGCACGGAACAACGTGTTGATACAAGTGCATGCTGTATGCTCATGTTCAGATTGGGCATGGTGTAACTTATTTTTGTAACTAAATGAAGTTTTAAAATTGCTTTTAAATTTCTCATATCATCAGAGTGTCTAGAAACAAGTCTGAAAAGAAGCGTAGAGATCAATTTAATGTTCTCATTAAAGAACTGGGATCCATGCTTCCTGGTAACGCTAGAAAGATGGACAAATCTACTGTTTTGCAGAAGAGCATTGATTTTTTACGAAAACATAAAGGTAAAGTTTTACTTTGTAAATTTTTTTTAATATATAACAATCTTTCTCTTAAAGAGGAGCCTAGTACAGCCTTTCTCAACGTGTGGGTCTTGACCCCTTTGGGGGTTGAACGTCCCTTTCATAGGAGTCACCTGATTCATAACAGTAGCAAAATTACAGTTATGAAGTAGCAACAGAAATAATTTTATGGTTGGGGAGGCACCACAACATGAACTGTATGAAAGGGTGGCGGCATTAGGAAGGTTGAGAAACAGTGGCTAGTGGTTACCTTGTTGGGTTGTTAACTCCAAGGTTAGAAATTCGAAACCACCTGCTACACCACTGGGTAAAGAGGAGGCTTTTTGTAAAAAAGTTGCAATCTCCAACTCACTGGGGAAGTTCTACCCTGCCTTACAAGGGTCCCTACATTTGATGGCAACAAGTTTGGTTTTTTCGGTTGTTGTTTTTGGTCCCTTAAAGCATAATGAGGTAGTACCTCTGGTACTTAAGAATGAATGTTTCCTTAGCTTTGATAAGAGAGAAAACCTTTGTCTTTTCTCGTTGAAATTTTCAAACATGTTCTTTCTTTCAAACATTTATTTAGAGCTAACTATATCCTGCTGGCCCCTCATATAACTCAAGCTGGGGAGACAAACATAACATAATTACTGTACAAATAATTATGCTTGTAAACTGTAGACGTGCTGTGAAAACACAGAGAAAAGAATGTGTCGAAGATGGCTTCAAGATAGTTGCTTTCTTTGTTGCCTTTCTTTCAAATTAAGTAAGGAGAATTGCATTTTATGCAGAGGAAAATAGTATATGCAAACACAGAGGAACAGGAGGAGTTTGTCGCTACCCACACAGACCTGGAACACAGTTTCTCACAAGAAGTTACAAGTGTGAAAGAAAATCAAGAAGCAGACCATGAAGGCCTGCTATGTCATTAAAAAGATGAGTTGGTTGGTTTAATTGCTTCGGTGTATTTCTAAGAAGTAAACACTTGTTATTTGTTAACTTAAAGAAAATCATCTTGATTGAGTCATAAAAATAATGTTTATCAAAGAGTATGGATTTTGGTATCCTTCCAGTCACCCAGGCCACAAACCTAAAAAGTATTTCGGATTCTTTCCATCCTTTTTAGTACCCATTATCTAATCAGTTGTCAAACTGTATTGATTCTTCTATGCATGTGTCAAAAAATTTCTTCTCATTTTTATTACCACCATTATTGTTACATTTTACTTCTAAAAGTATAATAGGATTTTCTCTAACCTCATTGCCCCTTTAGATTGTATACTCCTTTAAATCACTCCCTTATCATATTGTAGTTCAAAATGATTGTTAAATGAATTGAAATTAGATGCATGTGTTTCCTCGACAGTAGATTAATTTTGACATGAAGTAGACCATGTAGCTTTCTAAATTTGAATATATATTTCTCACAAAAATAAAATCTGCCTTAAATTGAAAAGAAATTCTTATGTACTTATTACTCTAAAATAGGCCTGAGATGCACTAAACATGATGGGATTAACTTGTGGATTTAAATCCTCTTTATATATCAATATAATTGATGTCATTCATGCTGGGGAGGAGGGTGCCATGACACAGAGTCGATGGCTCTGTTTCTAAATTACTCTGCATATTCCAGTGCAGGCATTTTTAACATGCCAAGGTTTAGGTGCCATTTTAATATGCTATATTTATATATCTGATAGTTTTTTTAAAAAGCCCATACTTTTGACTGCAAAGTAAGTTTTGTAGAGGTATTATGTATGATATAGAACATTTATCATTTTCATTCTGCCTCGTTTTAACATCTTTGCATTTTAAAATGGAAAAACAAATGTTACCTAAACTGGTCAGCTTCCGTCAACTATGAATAGCTTTCTCGTAACTAATAGCAGTGTGTAGCAAAATAAAATAGTAGTAATTGTATTAAAATGTGTGCCCAAACCGCAGATCTCCAAATTCTTAGTATCACTACGAACATAATGCAAAGAGAGTCCTAAGCAAAAATCACTCTACAAACCGAACTCACTGCCATGTACCCAGTTCCACCCCCTGGGGGTTTCAGAGACTAACTCTTTACAGGAGTAGAAAGCCTCCTCTCTCCAGCAGATCAGCTGGTGTTCAGAACTGCTGTTAGCTGCTCAGCTGATGTTGGCCTCTTCTAGCTCTTGTCTGTATCTCCACCCTTAAGCTACTGGACAGTTGAATGGCAAGAAAAGAAGATGGAGTAATAAATATTTTATGATGCTTCGAGAAAATTTGATCTAATTAGTCTTGTTCTTAATGGTAGTAATAGATGAATTGTAATGTTTGGTTGCTGTGGGAAGCAAGAAGACATCTCAGCAACACAGGCTACCAAAGCTCCCCAGAGAAAAAACAAAGGCTGATATTCCCAAGAGATTAAGCTCAAGAAGCTAATTTACCCCAGTAACTCAAATATTTCATTTTACTAGGATCTGAACCTTCTAAATCTTAGAATCCTAAATGTTATAGCCTATAGAGCTCATCTGTAATTAGAGTGGGTCTAAAGGAGACAATTTGTAGGACTTTGGTGCTCCCCCTGGTGGTTACGGATGCCACTAATGTGTCCCATAATTTGTTCACAGAAATCACGGCACAGTCAGATGCTAGTGAAATTCGACAGGACTGGAAACCTACATTCCTTAGTAATGAAGAGTTTACACAATTAATGCTAGAGGTATGTCCAGATTTCATTTTAAAATAATTTTCCTCAAAAAAAAAAGTTCATGAGTGGCTGCTTTTAATTAGGTTTTAGCAATACTGTTTTAATATTGAAAAGGCTTATTGCAATGTGAAATTTCAAGGTAGATCTAATGTAAACTATGCCTTCAATTAAATTTAATGGCAGCAAGTATTATAAGCAAATGATACTGTATGGTAAATTAATAAAGCTACATTTTCAGTACTGAGTTTTTGAGAGGATTAATAAAAATCACAAGCTTATAACTAACACGTTCTTAACCTGCGATGACTATGGCAACATTCAACAAAGAATTAATATGTGTTATTCATCACTTAGTAAATGCATTCTACTAATGGGCTATTTTTTTAACAGGACATTAAAATTCACTTTAAAAATCACACAAGGTAATAAATGTATTTTTAAAAATAGTGAAAAATGAAATATAATTTGAAAAGCAATTCTTATTTGAAGTAGAGATTTTTAAATGGAATGTCTTCACAAGTGTCCTCTCTAACAAAATTATTTTGAAAACGCTTTTGTGGTAATCATTTCTTTTATAAGAATTAATACCAAGCTAATTCCAAGAGGTTGAAAATGCCCAACTCTTGCAAGATGGTCGTCTGCTCCCTTGTTCCCCCACTTCTCCCTTGAGTGTATTCCCTCATGTTTCTGGGTTCTGTGAATCACTGCAGTGTCCCACAGAGCTCACGGCAGTTCAAGGAAGTACCTTATGAGGTGGGGAGTGCCTTTCAGTCCAAAGTCCGAAGGTCAGTCAGGGGTCAGCCAGATGCTGGGGCCAGAGGATGTGCTCCACTCCTGGCTTTTGCCAGTGATGAGCTCACCCCCCCCACCCCCCCACCCCCCCAGCTTCTCAGTGGACTCATTTTATACACAGCAGGATGGTATTACAGGGAACCCTGTTCACAGTTAGTCACAGGTGAATCCTATCTGTATCTTCCCCACCTTCTTACCAGACCCATGCAAGGAAAGGTCGTTTTGCAGGAGTTAGGCACATGGTGCAGTTAGGTTTCATTAAATGTGACCATCTGTTCTCAGCCTCTGGACTGTATTTTATTTATGCATATATAACCTGGGGCCTCTGGCAAGTTGTTTCCAGTGGGCATTGGCCTGCTACTAATCTTAATCAGCCAGGCTCTTTCCCAGGCCACTCCAGAAACAGTTTTCTTTCTCCTCTGAGCTGCAGTGTATAATTTCTTGCATCCATTGTAAGTAACGGTAACGAAGATAACCATTAAACAAAGCATGTGGTCCAAATCACACCTGCTCCTAAGGTCAGAACTCAATCTCATCCCATTCCTATTTGTTAGCAGATAATGCTCCAAATGAGACTTCATCCACAGGTGAATTGGACCCAGAAGTACTATCTATCACATAAGGGGCTATGACTGCAAGGGCTATATTAATTGAGTGTAACGCAACTTGAAGACATTTTTGCTTACAGTTGCAGAACATAGCATCTCTTACAAACAATTAGCAAATTAACAAAAATGTTACCCCTCTCATACCTGTTAATTTTATTTTTCTACATTTCATTCTTTTCTATATGGAGTAACATAAGTACCTGCATCCATGCACACAGAGTACACAGAATTAATACCAATTTCACAAAAAACGAATGATAAATAGGAAGCAGTGGTGGCACGTTTTTTTGAGGTCTTATTTAAGAGAAAGAAAATAGTCCCATAATGGGAAATAGACAGGAAATACAGGAAAACAACTGAGGTGGTAATGGGTTGTGAAGCAGTTTGCTAGCCTCTTTACTTATGTTTGTAGGTCTTTTATTTTAGACCTTAACCATTTCTCTGCATCATGTATATATGTAATGGCCACGTCTCAGGTATCTTTTTAATATTAACTAATGTATGGATCCAGATATACTATTTTGCAAATAATGAACTATATTTTTAATTTTTACTTTAGATAAAATAGTAAATGCTGGATTCACTCCATCTTTATTTTTTAAACCTAATGTTACCACTTGAAAATTTGTTAGAATATGAATATATTGTAAAAATGTTAATCTATGGCTGAAATATGAAAGAAACTGAGCACTTTTCTCACACATGAACTCATTGAATCCTCAACAGCAGTTTTCTGAAGTAAGCACTATGATTATCTGTATATTACTTACAGGTGAGCAAACTGAGTGAGATAAAAGGAGATTATGAAACTTGCCTAAAGTAACACAGCTAAGCAGAGTAAGTTGCTCAACTAGGGTTCATTGTAAGCGAATTGGCCTCTGAGCCCAAGCTCTCAGCTGCTATACACACCCCTTTCCTGAAACTGCTTTTTAGTTAAAGCTAGCCATGGAACAGAACTTTAAGTAACCAGCAATTAGTTCTTTAAATTTGTATAAGCCTATTTTACAAACAAATAGTTAGCAGTTTTTTTTTTT